AAAGAAAGAAAGAAAGAAAGAAAGAAAGAAAGAAAGAAAGAAAGAAAGAAAGAAAGAAAGAAAAAGAAAGAAAGAAGAAAGAAACCATTGCCAAATTCAAGGTCATGCAGAGTTAACACCTATGTTTTCTTCTAAAGAGTTTTATAGTTTTAGTTCTTATATTTGAGTCATTGAGCCATTTTGAGTTAATTTTTATATATGGTGTGAGGTAGGGGTCCAAATTCATTCCTTAACATGTGGAGATCCAGCTATGCCAGCACCATTTGTTGAAAAGACTCTTTTTTCCCCATGGAATGATTTTGCCACCTCTATTAATTTTCTAGGGCTGCCTTATTAACAAAGTGCCACAAATTGGATAGCTTAAACAATAGAAATTTATTTTTGCACATATGCGAGGTCAAGATGCAAGTTCCTCTGGAGGGTTAGGAGAGAAAAATCTGTTCCAGGCCTCTCTCCTTGCCTTGTAGACCTTCTCACTGTGTCTTCACATCATCTTCCCTCTGTGCATTTCTGGGTGTCCAAATGTCCTCTTATAAGGACACCAGTCATATTGGATTAGGGTCCACCCTAATGACCTCATGTTAACTTAATCACATCTTTAAAGATGCTATCTCCAAATACAGTCACGTTCTGAGGTACTGGGGAATAGGACTTCCATTTATGAATGGGGGGGCACAATTCAGTTCCTAACAGCATCCTTGTCAAAAAGTATTTGGCCAGGGGCACCTGAGTGGCTCCGTTGGTTAAGTGTCTGCCTTCAGCTCAGGCCATGATCCCAGGGTCTTGGGATCGAGCCCCACATCGGGCTCCTTGCTCAGTGGACTGCTTCTCCCTCTCCCTCTGCCCTTCCCCCTGCTTGTGCTCTCTCTCTCTCTCTCTCTCTCTGCCTGTCAAATAAATAAATAAAATCTTTAAAAAAAAAAAAAGGAGTTGGCCATAAATGTGAATTATGTTTTCAAGGTTCATTCAAGTTGTAGCATGTATCCATGCTTCATCCCTTTTTATTGCCAGATAATATTAACTGTAACAACTTTTAAGGATCCACCCAGCATCCCCTCTATAGGAGCCATGCCCTTGTGAACTGGGCCAACCCAGGTCACCCGGGTGTGGAATCTGGGGCCCCAAGCCCAGAGCGTTGGGGCAAACCAGGAGCAAGGGGACCCACGGGCATTGGACTGTGAGCTCTGTCCCGTGTCCTGTCCCGTTAGGTGAGCTACATGAACAACCAGCGGTACATGGTGGCCATCATCTTGAGCGAGAAGCAATGCCAAGAACAACTCAAGGAGACTAACAAGAGCAGCAATGGTGAGTGGTCGGGGCAGTAGGGAGCCAGGGTGGTAGACTCCCTGCCCAGTGTCTTGGCAACCCCCAACCTTCCTGAGATGTATTATTGTGTCCCTGTAGCCTTGCTTCTCATGCTGAACCAGAAGGCCAAGACGCTGGAGGTGGAGGTGGCAAAGGAGAAGGAAGTGTGCACCAAAGACAAGGAGGGGCTGGTGCTGAAAAAGCGAATGGTGGAGGAGCAGCTGACCGAGTGTGGCAAGGCCCAGGAGCAGCAGCGGCAGGAGCGACAGCTGGCCGAGGACCGCCTGCAGAAGGTGCAGGCCCTCTGCCTCCCACTGGACAAGGACAAGTTTGAGATGGAGCTGCGCAACCTCTGGAGGGACTCCATTATCCCACGCACCCTGGACACGATGGGCTATAATCTGTACCATCCTCTCGGCTCGGAAATAACCGCCATCCGGAGAAGCTGCGACCACATGCCCACCCTCATGACCACCAAGGTGGAGGAGCTAGCCCGGAGCCTGCGGGCCGGCATAGAGCGCGTGGCCCGCGAGAACTCGGACATCCAGCGCCAGAAGCTGGAGGTCGAGCAGGGCCTGCGGGCCAGTCAGGAGGCCAAGGAGAAGGTGGAGAAGGAGGCCCAGGCCCGGGAGGCCAAGCTCCAGGCCGAATGCGCCCGGCAGACACAGCTAGCCCTGGAGGAGAAGGCAGCACTGCGGAAGGAGCGAGACAGCCTGGCGAAGTTGCTGGAGGAGAAGAAGCAGGAGGCAGAGCAGCTCAAAATGCAACTGGCCGTCAGCAACTCCGCCCTGGACACCTGCATCAAGGCCAAGGTGGGCTAGAGGGCCCTGGATTCAGGTTTCACTGGGGTCCGGTCTGGGGGCCATGTTGGTGGTGGTGTCTAATGGGTTTGAGGTGAGCTTCCCAGTCTAGGTCTGGTTAGTTAACTCACTTGAGAGTGTCACTGACATAGGATTGGGATGGAGTTTGGAAGGACATGGACAAAGGATTAAGGATTGGGATTGAGTTTAGGGTGGCTGGTGGGCCTAAAAATTGGTTGAGGGTGGGACGCCTGGGTGGTTCTGTCGGTTAGGCGTCTGCCTTCGGCTCAGGTCATAATCCTGAGGTCCTGGGATCGAGCCCCGCATCGGGCTCCTTGCTCAGCGGGGAGCCTGCTTCTCACTCTGCCTGCCACTCCCCCTGCCTGTGCACGCTCTCTCTCTGACAAATAAATAAAGAAAATCTTTACCAAAAAAAAAAAAATTGGTTCAGTGTGAGGACGGGGGATTCATGGAGGGTTGGTGTCAGGGTTGGGATGTGTCTGAGTTGAAGGATCAGGGACCATGGGTGGGGTTGGCAGTTAGACTGAAGTTTAAGGCTAGAGGAAGGCTTGATGTGGAGCAAGAGCTTGTGTTTGGGTTAAAGTGAATTCTTAGTGACCGCTGTGTTTAGAGTTGGTTTGAGTTAAAGTTAGGATTCCATCGAAGATTACATTAGTCTTAGAATTGGGGTTGTGCTGAGTTTGGATTGTGGGGGAAGGTTGAAAGTTAGGTCAGGTGTCGCATGCAAGGCAGCCTGGTGAGTCTAGCACTGGGAGTAGGATGTCAGTGGCTTGAGTTCGGTTGCGTGGGGGCACCAACCCTAGAGTCGAAGCTCAGGTGAGTGTAGGTGGCTGGTGGGTCTAGAGATGATTAGAGGTTTGGGGCCAAGGGATTTCATTAGCATTAGGATTGGGATTGGTGTTGACCATGGGTTAGGAGTTGAAATTGGTTTGGGTTTAGGGTGGCTGACTGAGGGTTGAATTGGGTTGGCATCGGGATATATTTGAAATGAAAGATTGGGTGACCCTGAGTTAGGGTAGGGAGACCTGGGGAGGGGTGAAGGTCAGGGCTGGGTGCAGAGTAGAAACTGAACAGGTGCTAATCTTGGGGTACAGTTCTTCCATTTGAGGTAGAGGCTAGGGTCTAAGGTTGAGTTGGGGTGAGTGTGGTATTGGGAAAATGTTTATGGGTGGCATTGGTGGAGCCCAGGGCTGGGCTGGGGGGAGGGGGTTGGGAGTGGATTTTTCATAGCAGCCAGGTCTAAGGAATGGGTTGGGATCAGAGTTAAATATGAAGTTATGGTCAGATCAGGTTTGTCATTAGGATTGGGTTTAGGTCAGGGTCTGATTCTAAGGAAAGTTCTGTTTTCATGTTGGGATTGGATTTTAGGTGATTGAGTTTAGAGCTGGCTTTGGATTTCAGGCTTAGGGTTGTTGGAGGGAAGGCAGTGGATTTACAGACCGGGTCGGCTTCAGCCCAGAGTGGGGCCGGGTTCGGTGTTGGGTGGATGGACTCACTTGGGGTCATGGATTGGGATCGGGTTGGAATTAAGATTGTAGGGGAGACCGAGGTAGGCCACTGCAGGGTCTCTGGGGGGCTTCCAAGGAAAGCCAGTGTCTGGAGTCCCCAGTCCTTTGAGGGCAGGTGGGTGCAGGTGACTGTACATCCATTAATGTGGGTGTCTTTCCCCGATATGTTTCCCCGCCCTGGAAGGAACTCAGACCCAGGTGTCCAAGGGCATGGAGGAGCAGGAACCTCCCTGGCACTCTGGTTCAGGGACCCCGGCTTCTGTCAACCTCCCTCCATCTTTCTTCCCACAGTCGCAGCCGATGCCTATACCAAGACCTGTTGGCCCTGCCCCCAACCCCCAGCCCATCGGTGAGTGACAGAAAACAGGGCCAGGAAGGGGTCCGGGGATTGTCCTTTCTACTTCTTATCCCACCTCAGCCCTGCTGTCGGGGCTGCCAGCCCACCCCCAGCCCAGGGTCGGGGCAGCTGGTTGGAGCTGACCCCTCCCTCTCGCCACAGACCCAGCTGGCCTGGAGGAGTTCAAGAGAAGGATCCTGGAGTCCCAGAAGCCCCCTGCAGGCAATGCTATAGCTCCATCCAGGTAAGGCACTGGGCCGACTGAGATGGTTCAGTCTCAGGGCTTCAGAGGAGGCTGGGAACAGGACTAGGAGTGGAGGGAGGCTCATCTCACACTTGCTGCTTCCTTAATTGAGTGCCTGCTGTATACCAGGCCCTATGCTGGGTCCTGGGGACACAGTAGTGACCAAGACCCATGCAGGTCTGTTCATGAAACTCCCTGAGTAGGGGGTGAGAGAAACAATGAAGGAACCATGAAAAGAAAGACCAAGAGCCTACGGTTACTAGGTGCTTACTGTGACTTCAGCACGGTTGCAAGCACTCTGCAAGATCAACTCCCTGAATCCTCACAACCCTAATCAGTGGGCAAGCCACTGTCATCACCCACCACTTTCCAGACGAGAAAAGTGAGGGACAGAGAAGGCATGCACCGTGCTCCAGGTAACCCAGCCGGGGAGTGGCAGAGATGGGGACTCGAACCCAGGCTCTTGGACTCCAGGCTTCCGTGCAAGGGAGGGCTTCCATGAGGAGGAGGCCTTTGAGCTGGAGGATGGGGCTTGAGCTGGTCTGGGAAGGGCGGAAGGTACAGAGCTCCAGGTGACAAGAAGAGCCAGAGTAAAGGCTCAGAGGCCAGACTGGGGTGGGATGGGGGGGTGGCTGGAACTGAGGAAGGGAGGAGGGAGAGCAGAGGCGGAGACCCTGGGCCTCTCACCCCACCCCTCTGAGCCTCTTTTTCTCACCTCTACAAAAGCGGAGGTCTCTGAAATCAAGGGCATGGAAAACTCTGCTAACTGTAAAGTGCTGTCCACAAGTGCCTAAAGCAAGGGGCTGGGGGTTGCAGCCGGGCGCATCAAGACACCCCTGTGCACACTCAGGTCAGGGCTCCGTGTCTGTACCCCGCACCCCCCCCACCCCCACCACCTCGTACAGACCATGCATCACAGGGAAGGTGACTCAGGCCATTGCCCCGAGAACATCCTGTTCTCCCTCCCGGGTGGTGGCTACGCTCCCCGTTCAGGACCACATCGCTGACCAAGGAGTCTGGGATGGGCATTGCCATTCACAGTTTAGGACCCGGGGCTCCAGGAGACACCGGGGATTTCAAGTCAGATTCCGCTGACCCCAAGCCTGTGCCTCCCATGGGCTCTGCCAGCAAGACTGTGGTCAAGCTGGTCTATTTCAGCCTCGGGGTCTATTTCAGCGTGGGGACAAATAGACTTCCAGAGGGCTGTCTTCAAATCTCAGGGGGTCCTCCACATCCAGCTCCATTTCCTGTATGGCTCCTCTTACATAGCCCCTCTGACGGGGAGCTTACCTTCTCCCAGAACTTGTCCCTTCCGCTCAGGATGGCTCTGTCTGGGAGAAATCGCTTAGCCTCAGGCAGCCCACTGAGAGGGAAGCAGGAAGGTGGAGAGAAGACCCTGCTCCGAGCAAACAGTTTTCCTCTCTCTATCTTGGCCCAAAGCCATCATGGCAAGGAAGGAGGTTCTATTATTATCCCCACTTTTCAGAGGAGGAAACTGAGGCCCCAGGGAAGTGACCAACCTGGGGTCATGCGTCAGTGAGTCAGGGCCAGAGCCAGGCTCCCAGCCCAGACCCGTCCCAGCTGAGAAAGGGGAAGCTCTTGACATTGTTTACCCCCAAGACATCCCTCTACAGAGAAAACAATGAGTACTTAAGGCAGGGCCCCTCCCGCCTCTCTCTGCCGGGTCTCAGGAAGGGGCTCTGGCTCTCTGAGCTCCAGCCTTGATTCACCTTCCCCCTGAGAAAGGGGCCATCAGCTCTGGCTTGGAGTCCCAGCGAGGCCAGACCCTTGGTGGGCTAGCCTAGGCAAACCATAGGCTGTGGTGTCACCAACCACATTGGAATTTTAGATGCCTCCGGGCAGGGGCCAGGGCCGAGGTCCAGCATCAAATCACTCAGCCCCCCCAATCGGGGGAGTCTCTTCCTTCTCCACTCATTCCTTCTGGGCCTTGACAAAGTCTCCGAGGTGCTAACACGCTCCCATTTGCAGCTCCCCCTGCGATCCCAAAGCCAGGGTCAACCCTCAGCCCAGCATCAGCTGGATGGGAACACAACGTCTTGCTTTTTCCGTGGACATTTTTAAGTCATTTTCTCTTGATGGCAAGTGCACTGGTTTTCCTTTTTACCTGATAAGACTGTGTCCTTTGGGTATCCATTTATTTAAGTTAAACACACACCCACAATTGATGTGAAGACAAATAAGGAAATACTGGTTTCAGGGGAAGGTGACTGGATAAGACAAAAGTTGTGATGCAGTTTTGGAATATAGGTGAGGTTGCGGGGGGAGGGGGGGAGGTCCGGAGCCGATGGCCAAGAAAGAATTCTTGAGACGTCTTTGGTGCAAAATGGTGGTTTTATTAAAACACAGGGATAGGACCCGTGGGCAGAAAGAGCTCCTGCACCGGGGTGGCGAGGGGTGGCTCATTATGTACTTGGGAGCTGGGGGAGGTCAGGAAAAGGGAGGTTTCAAAAGAATTTTCATAAACGAAAGAAGACCCTCGAGATCCTGGAGGCCTGGCTGTTATCAGGCTGAGACTGGTGTTCCCTCCGGCAAAGCAGTAACATTAAGAGAGTTGGGAGCTTCCTGGAAGAAGGTCCCACAGATCCCACCCAGGAGTTGGGGGCCAGGGGGAGGTTGCAGGGTGTCAGCTGGTGCTTTGTCCTCAGCTAGCCTTCTGCTCCCTCAACAGTGGCAATGTGGAAGGTTGAAGATGGGGAGTCCGGCCCTGGCTCTGAGCCGGACACACAGCGAGTCTCATTCAAGTTCATTGCCATCCCAATTGTGATTCGGTTTGTTTATTCAACCCGTGTGTCTTGAGCAGCTGGGGGTTGAGGGCACGAGTAGGAAGAGGCAGAGAAGCCAGCGCCCTTGTGGGGCTCCCAGTCTAGTGGGGCAGACAGATGCTTAACCAGATGCGTGAGCCCCTTGGCGGTGGGCGAGGCAGAAAAGGGATGGGGCAGTGTGAGGTTAATATTTTCCACAGAAGGCCAGGCAGGCTTCTCTGCCCTGCATGAGGGTGATGCTGGGGCAGAGAACTGGAGGAGGTGAGGGAAGAGCCATGGGGGTGGGGTGTCCCTGGAAGGGTGTACCAGGCAGAGGGCACAGCCCACGCCAAGGCCCTGAGACAGGACCAGGCCTGGTGAGGAGGCTGGTGCGGCTCAGGCAGAGCGATCCAGGGGGTGAGTAGGAAGTGAGGGGGGCACGGGGGGCGCAGGTCAGGTAGGGCCTGTGGCTGCAGTGAGAACTTCGGGAGCTTTGGGATAGCGTGAGCAGAAGAGGACATGACTGGCCTCAGGTGTTCAGAGGCACCCTCTAGTCGCTGTTGGGGGGTGAAGGCGGCAGCCAAAGACCAGGGCAAAGGCACCTGCCCTGGTCCAGGCATGTGATGTTGGGGGCTTGGGAGACTCGGTCTCTGAGAAATGGCCAGGGACCACCTCCTTGCAGGCTGGCGGGCAGGAGTGGGTGAAGAATGTATGCCAGGGCTGGCCGGGAGCCGTGTGAATCCTGGTCAGGCTGGAGCCGGGGGCGGGGGGGGGGGGGGGGGCAGAGCCAGCCAAGGAACGTGAAGCTGCTCGGCCCCAGGGAAGAGCCAGGGAAGGAAGGGAGTGGGCCAGCGGAAGCAGGACTTGGCTGAGGCCCCCTCCTCCCCGACCAGGAAACAGCCTCTGAGCCAACCCCTGACCCCTCACGAGAACCTCTGTTAGGCCAAGGAGGGGGAAGGGCAGTCCAGACAGCAGGATGGCTCCTGCAAAGACAGGGGGGAGGGGTGCAGTGAAGCAATGCCTCCTGAAATTTTGGAGGACTTTGGCAGGGTTTAAGTTCCTGATGAGGAGGACTGGTAGGGACAGAGAGGGTGGAGCCTTGAATGCCGGGTAGAAAGGATCTGGCTTTGTGGGCAGGGCACTGGGGAGCCAAGGAGAGTGTGTGAGGAGGGGCAGACTCCTGGGAAAAACCCTCCTGAGAATGGGTGAGGGGCTAGACCCGGGGCAGTTCTGTGGAGACAAAGGAGGGAGACTGAGGCCCCGTCTGAGGGGTGGGGGATATGGACAGGAGCTTTGGGGCAAACTCCCAGGATCCCCAGGGCCCTGGAGACCCCAGGTAAAAGGCTGCCGCAGAGGCCTGGAGCACAGAAGGTGGCCTCTCTGACCACCGTCTCTTCATCTGTAGACTGAGGAGGCCCACGTCCCAGCCCCACCCTCCCAGGGAGGTTCAACAAGTAGGAGTCTAATGGGAAGGCTGAACCCCAAAAGAGCCGAAGAGTCCTTGGTGGCAAGAAGGAGCCTGGGGTTGGGGGCAGCAGGCCCAGGCAAGGTTTGTCCTTCCATCTGTCTGACTATTGTGTTACCATGTCCTTCCTGCCCTAGCGGCTGAGGAGGCTCCAGGCCCTGAGGACCAAGGTGTGGCCCCGCCTGGCCAGTCTGCGGACTCGGGGCAGCGAGATGCCCACGGCGCAGCCTGCAGCCAGGGCCCCGGCCGGCCGAACGCCCGCGCGCACGCCCGAGTGGCTGCCCTTGGCCTCTGCCGCACGCCCGTCCCTCCCCACACCCCACGACGCCCCTGATACTCTCACAGCCCCTCGCCCACAGACATGGCAGTGACATCCACAGACATAGCAGTGACGTCACACACACGCGCCTTCTGCCCAGCCCTTGCCCCATGTCGTACCCCTCCCAGGCACTCAGCATCCCCCCGTCTGCACACCCCCGTGCCCCCGCCACAGCGCCCTCCGATTTTCTCGTCTTCGGACTCCTCACCCCCAGTGTGCGGGGCCTAGGGGAAGTGGGAATGGGAAGACAGCCTCCGGTCCCCCCGGGAGAGTCTCCAGGCTCCCCTGCCAGGCCGCACCCGAACCCAGAGCAAATGTCCCCCGCTGACCCCATCATAGCCCACAATTGATGTGAACAGCAGCTGCCTCTCGTTCCTCTCCCCCCACACCCAGCCCTGCCCCTGGCCCCTATAAATGTTAGTGGCACTAAATAAATATTGAATCCTTTCCAAGACTCCAGAGTGGTGATTTTTGCTTTGAAAAGTCACCTCCTAGTGATGCCTGAGAAAAGACCCCGCAAGCTAGGATCCCTCCCCCTGTCCCCAGCCTGTCCCCAGGCCAGAAGAGTCTGGGGTGACACCAGCTTCCCTCAAAGCCCTGAAACTGCTTTTTAAATACCTGCTGTTTGGGGCGCCTGGGTGGCTCAGTCGTTAAGCGTCAGGGGCCTGCTTCTCCCTCTCCCTCTGCTTGCCACTCCCCCCCGCTTGTTCTCTCTCTCTCTCTCTCTCCACACCCCCCAACAAATAAATAAATAAATAAAATCTAAAAAAAAAAAAAAAAGCACAGCTTCTTAAAAAACAGGTTATCCATCTGTGACTTTCATCTTCCTAAGATGTGCAAAGATTTCCCCCCAGGTACTGAGGCAGGACAGCTAACCCTCTCCAGAATGTCTCCAGGAAGAGTGTCACTAAAGGTTCAGGCCATTTGTTTTGTCTTGTTTTGTTTTGTGGCGAGATGGGATGTCAGAAAGGGCACCAGGGTCCAGTGGGAGTGCTTTTTTTTTTTTTTTAAGATTTTATTTATTTATCTGACAGAGAGAGACACAGCGAGAGAGGGAACACAAGCAGGGGGAGCGGGAGAGGGAGAAGCAGGCTTCCTGCCGAGCAGGGAGCCCGATGTGGGACTCGATCCCAGGACCCTGGGATCATGACCTGAGCCAAAGGCAGACGCTTAACGACTGAGCCACCCAGGCGCCCCCAGTGGGAGTGCTTTAACACACTAATCACTAAATTCGTGGGGAAAACAGGAAAAAGTGCATTAGAGGAATACAGGGAAATCTCATTGTACCCAGTAGACCGGAAAAAAAAAAAAGTTTAAAAAGCCATAATACCTACTGCTGGTGAAGATGTAGAGAAAGGACATTTTTCTACAGGACTAGTAGAAATGCGAATCTCATCGTGGCCCTCTGGAAATTAGTTTGGTGATATTTCATTAAAGTAAAGATGCACAAACCCTTTGGCTCAGCAACCCCATTTCTGGGATTTTATCCCTGAAAAGTAAAAACTCCAGGAAATAAAGCAAATGGCCATCAGTAGAAAAACGGCCTAAAAATTGTGGTCTAGAATCTCAGCTTGTCATTCGCTGCCTCCACCCCCACCTCCACCCCCCATCTTCCCCACTGCCCCAGCCCGGATTCCCTCCCAGCCCATCCTCCCGGGACCCTAGACAGGGAGGGGATGAGTCACAAGGAGCCGGGGCTGGCAACGCCACGCTTAAGGCAGGCTAGTCAGGAGGGACAAAGGAGCGATATTTCCTGGATACGGAAACTCGGGTGAGAGACGCCTGCTGCAGGAAACACTCGGCTGGGGCCCCGCCAAGCCAGGGCAGGGGGGTCAGCCAGGCCAGGCCGCCTAGACGGGACAGTCTGGAGGCCCCAAGGAAGTGAAGACGTCCCTGACCCTCAGCCTACTGCCTGGGCAGCGGGAGACTTGGAGAGGGTGATGATACCGGCCAGTCCCAGCAACCACAGGATGTCTGAGTTTTGGGTTCCGGAGCCAGACATCCCTGAATCCAAATCTTGACTCATTCGGTCTCAGCCTCCATTTTCTCATCTGAGAAATCATCTTTCTAAACTTTCTGGACACATGGGCACGGGTCTGACTTTTGGTTGGTCTCTCCCATCCAGAGCGTCCCAGGGTATCATCCCTCCAGCTGGCCCCCACGCCCGGCCCTGCTGGTCTAGAGAGACCTTTTCCATCATGGGATCTGACCATGTCCCTCTCTGGCTCACACACTCTCCATGGCTCCCTATCACCCTGGGAACAAAGTCCAGTTCCTCAGTTCTCTTGGGCCCCCCTGCCCCCCACTGCCGCCACCCCCACTTCCAGTGCAGCTCTTGCCTCCAGCTGCCCTGGACCTTTCATTTTCTGGCTAAAGACTATCTCTTAATTTGTGCTCTCAGACTAGACTGCCTTTTTCTTCTTCCTGCCCCCCAAATATCCCTCCTCCAGGCAGCCCTCTTGATTGCCCCAGGTATTGTCCTTGCTCCCGATGGGGCAATCCCCAGCTCCATCCCTCCCTTTATGCAGACCTGACCATGTAGGTCTGACTCCCCCAAGTTGGTGGTTCCCCCGGGGGGCAAGGTGGGGACTGGGTACCTGTCAGGGAGCAGTTGGCAGACCACCTCCCTGACCTTGTGGCCCAGCCACCGGGTGAGGTTCTGACTCTTTAGGGATTTCCTGTGACCTCTATAAATAACCCCCATGGCTGCTTCCCACAAACCACCTCATCCTTCTTGGAAAAAAGGGACTGTAGCCAAGGACCTCAGTCCAGCTGTGTGCCAGAGCCCGGGGGAGGCGGGTGGGGCCCAGGCATCCTGCCCCAAGAGCGTCTCTCTCCCCACCCAGACCCTGCTCACCCCTCCTGGGAGCCCTCTGAACCCTCCTGATGTGGAGGACATCTGGACACCCAGCCCCGCTAAACCTATGGTATTGCTTCTCTCCTCTGGGCCTGTTTGTATTCCCGAAAAATAGACATAATAGCAATATTCGTGGGCTCAGCTCACTGAGTGACCCTTTCCCTCCAGAGGCCCCCCATGCTGGGACAGCCCTAGCTGCTAAACAAGCAAACAAATCGATAGCGACACATTGCAACGAAGTCCGTGAAGACACAGGGTCAGGGGGCCCCCTTTGGTTGGGTGGGTGGGTCGGAATTCTAGATGCCTTCTGAAAACTCTCTTCATACTCTTTGTTGGCCCTGGATACTTCCCAGCCTCTGCTCACCGGTGCCCTAAAACCTGAGAGCTTGTATCTTCGATCACTGGAAGTAGGACTATTTTTCTTATTCTGGAAGGGATCCTGACCCTGTTTTAAGACTGTTTTTCTGCCTGTGGCAAGGGATTAACCGTTCACCTGCCGGGTGGGTGTGGAAGCCTGGATCCCAGGGTCCTTAGAGGGTCAGAGCGTTGATGGGGGGCGGGGGGGGGGCGCTGCCAGGACCTTCTTTTGTTAGAGGAGGACGCCCTCTGCTGGTTCATCACCAACATAACAGGCCCCTGTGAGTCTCAGAATCCAAGATCTCACCACTAATTCAAAGGGATACATGCACCCCCATGTTCACAGCAGTATTATCTACAGTAGCCAAATCATGGAAGCAGCCCAAGTGCCCGTCAGCAGATGAACGAAGAAGATGTGGTATATATACACAATAGAGTATTATTCAGCCACAAAAAGAATGAAATCTTGCCATTTTTGCAATGACATGGACGGAGCTAGAGTGTATAATCCTAAGCGAAATAAGTCAGTCAAAGACAAATACCATATGATTTCACTCATATGTGGAATTTAAGAAACAAAACAAATGAGCAAAGGAAAAAGAGACTCTTTTTTTTTTAAAGATTTTATTTATTTATTTGTCAGAGAGAGCACAAGCAGGGGGAGGGGCAGAGGGAGAGGGAGAAGCAGACTCCCCGCTGAGCAAGGAACCCGATGCAGGACTTGATCCCAGAATCATGACCTGAGCCGAAGGCAGTCACTTAACCGACACACCCAGGCGTCCCCAAGAAACAGACTCAACTCTAGAGAACAAACTGCTGGTTACCGGAGGGGAGGTGGGTGGGGGGTGGGGGAAACACGTGATGGGGATTAAGGGGTGCACTTGTCATGATGAGCACTGAGTAATGTATAGAAGTATTGAATCACTATTTTATGCACCTGAGACTATTATAACACTGTATGTTAACTATACTGGCATTAAAATAAAAAACTTAATAAAAGAAAGGGTCAAAAAAAAGAAAAAGAATCAAAGTCCTATCAATCAGATCCTCCCCCTTCCTCCAGCCATCTCCCTCCTCGCTCCCCCTCACTCACTGCTTCAGCCCTACCAACCACCTGTTCCTTAAACACACCATGACGCTCCCCCCTCAGGACCTTTGCACATGCTGTGCCCTCTGCTGGGGACACTTTCACCAACCTCCTCCATCTGGTTTCCTTCTCACCATTTGGCTTTCAGTACCAATGTCACCTCTGCAAGGCAGCCTGCCCTCATGTCCCTGAGCAGACAGGTCTCCTTATCATAAGCTCACACAGCAGCCATGAGACCTCACTATAAGGAACTAGGTCTCTAACTCAGGCAGGGGCAGCACCTGTGACAATTAGTCCCCTTTGTGTTCCCAGCATCCTGCACTTGGCCTGTTGCACAGAAGGCCTGCAGCAAACTCAGACTGGAAGTCCGAACAAACCTATGTGCAAATCCCAAAGGTGGGGATGTCAAGCAACTAATTCTCTGAGCCTTAGTTTCCTCATCTGCAAAACGATAACAAAATACTCACTGCGTTGTGCTGTTATCAAAACCCAATAAAATGGGGGGCGCCTGGGTGGTTCAGTTGGTTAAGCGACTGCCTTCGGCTCAGGTCACGATCCTGGAGTCCCGGGATCGAGTCCCACAAAGGGCTCCCTGCTCAGCAGGGAGTCTGCTTCTCCCTCTGACCCTCTTCCCTCTCACGCTATCTCTCATTCTCTCTCTCTCAAATAAATAAATAAAATCTTAAAAAAAAAAACAGTAAGAGCGCCTGGGTGGCTCAGTTGGTTAAGCGACTGCCTTCGGCTCAGGTCATGATCCTGGAGTCCCGGGATCGAGTCCCACATCGGGCTCCCTGCTCAGCAGGGAGTCTGCTTCTCCCTCTGACTCTCCTCCCTCTCATGCTGTCTCTCATTCTCTCTCAAATAAATAAATAAAATCTTTAAAAAAAAAAACAATAAAATGACGTGTGCAACTCTAGCACATAGCAGGTGCTTGACAGTTACTGAGGGAATGAATGCATAAGCTCAGAGGGCATAGGGACCTGGGATCTTGCAGGTCTCTTTTAAAATATAAGAGGCAAATAAAGAAATAAATTAAATAAAACATAAGAGGCAAAGCTTCAAGATTAATACTAAAAAAGAGAATGATAACTTGCAGAGCAATACACACACTTTATGTACAAAATACAAGACAAAACATATTTTATAGGTGTATCCACAAGTATGCAGAACAGCAGAGAGAATTCTGGAAGGACACAAACTGACCCCAAGGGATGGGGCGGGGGGAGATTTCCATGTTTAAGCATTTCTGGATCACCTGAATTTTTTTATTATTCCTTTAGTATTTGCAAAATAAATTAAAAACCACAAAACAAAGATCCCTGAGGCCCTCCCACCCCTACGGCAACCGTCCACTCCTACTCCCCCAGCATCGGAACCCAAAGGGACCTCCGTTGAGCTCCACGCCAGGGCTGGAACCCCTAGCATGTCCCTGCCAGGGAACTAAGCTACACCCAGCAACAGGGAGCTCACCACCTCTGAAGGAGGCACTTCGCTTCACCGTCCTGGGGCCAAGTTCTTCCCTCAGGGGATGAGATTCTCACTGGGCCTAAGCTATTCCCACATGCCTCAGGGCTCCTGGCCCCGCCCCACCCCCAGCCTGGCTGGGAGCTTCAGTGGTCCCCTCACTTGCCTACGCAGAAGTCCCGGAAGATGATGTCCAGGACCTCCTCAGTGCCCCCTCCGCCGGTGATGCGGCCCAGGTGGCCCCGGGCGAGTCGCAGCGCCTCAGCAGCCAGGGCTAGGTCTTTGGTCTGCTTGTAGTGGCCGAGGGCATCCAGGCAGCCCTGGAGATGATGCTGGTGTCTTACACGCGTCAGAAGTGGTGGGCCTGTGGACGGGTCCCCACACCTGGAAGGGACAAAGGATGCTGTCTTTCTCAACTTTCACAACTACCATTGGAAAGGGGATGATCACTGGCATTTTGTGGACCCAGAAAATGAGCCTGGGGGCGGGTACGTGTCCAAAGCCAGTGGCTCTGCCCTGACTGGAACTTGGGTTGAGGCCGGCTGCCGGAACAGGGACGGGCGGAGGCGGGGCGGGGGAGCCGCTCACACTTCAGCCAGCTCCTTCCTCAGCGCCTCCAGGAGGCCATTCAAACCCTCTCCGGTCAAGCAGGACAGCAGCAGGTGCGGGGGCAGGTCGGGCCTGGGGTCTGGGCCCCCTCGAGGCAGCAAGTCCGATTTGTTCAGCACCAGCAGGAGGCGCTGGCTGTTCTCCCTGGGGCTCCCAGCGCCTGGGCGGACGACAACGGTATCCAGGAAGTTGCAGCTGGACGGAGAGGCCAGGTCAGAAGCATCCAGCACTGCCAGAATGAGGTCAGCCTGCTCCAGCCTGGGGGAACAGGGAGAACCAACCAAGAGTTCAGTAATTAAGGGCACCTGGGGGGGCGGGGGCAGAGCAAGAGGGGCGGGGCATGGCATGTGAGGGCGGGGCAGGGCAAGAGGGGCGGGGCAGGAACAGAGGCTGAATTTACGCGGTGGCTCTCCCCACATCAGAGCCCCCACCCAAAAGACCTTAGCAGCCTTTCCTGATTCGGGAGGGACACAAAATAAATGCAGCAAGGAGAAATAGAAGTGGAAGGGCTCTGTCTCCCCCTCCCACCACCCTACCAGCCTACCTCTCGCGGGCGCGCCGCACGCCCTCCTGCTCCACCGGCCCCACGCCCTCGCGCAAGCCCGCCGTGTCGCTCAGCAGCGCCGGGAACCCGGCCAGGTCCACGGGGGTCTCCAGCACGTCGCGGGTGGTCCCCGGCTCCGGGGACACTATGGACACAGGCTTCCGGCCTGGGACGGAATGGGGGGTGGGGGTTATCGCGAAGAGGGCGGGGTGGGGGCCGTAGAGCCCCTCCCCCAGACTCCACCTCCCGGCTCCTCCCCCACACCCAAACAGCTCCCCAGCTCCGGCCCCGCCCCCGGAGTTAGGCCCCGCCCCCCACGCACTGAGTAGGTTCACCAGGCTGCTCTTGCCAGCGTTGGGGGGTCCTGCGACCACTACGTGCGCCCCTGAGCGAAGCCTCTGCCCGCGCCTGGCATCTCGAAGATGTGCGCTCAGTGCCAGCTCCAGCTCCCGCACTTGGCTGTCAGCTGTGGATGGAAGAAAGCAGAGGGGAGGGAGTGAGGGGGCCTCCAAGGGCTACGATGACAGGTGCCCCAACCGCTAGGAGGACCCACCTTGCTCCAGGACGCCCTCCTCCAGGTTGTCATCCTCACCAAAGTCGATATAGGCCTCCACATGAGCCAGAGCCTGGGGGGATAGGGGGACGGAGTGGTGATGTGGTAACCCAGGAACCCCCCCCACACACACACACACAATGTGCCCAGGTCAAGTCTGACCCAAGGGACCAGACTGGAGGCTTCATGCACAGGAAGCTCTCACACAGAGAATGGGCAGGTGGAGTCTCTGAGGCAGGGAATGGGCGAAGAGGGGGCTTGCCTTAGTGAGAGTCTTGGCCCAGCCACGGCAGAGGTGGCCCAGTTCCCCGTCCAGCTGCCTCAGCGCCTGCCGCCGCTGCGCCTCGGTTTCTGCATGAATTAGATCCGCTAGCCCCTCCACCTCGGTCAGGCTCAGCTTCCCGTGAGCGAATGCCCGCCTGGTGAACTCACCAGCCTCGGCCGGCCGCAGCCCTGGCACACTGCCTGCGGGAAGGTAGTGGATCCTGAGCTCCCTGGCCCCCACCCAGATCCACTGGCAGAGCCAGACTTCGAACCCAAGGCTGCAGACTCACCCAGGGCCTGCAGGACGCCACTCACCACCGCCGGGCCTCCATGCACGTGGAACTCCGCGCAGTCCTCACCCGTGAAACTTTGGGGACCTAGTGTGGTGAGACGGGAGTCGAGGAGAGTAAGGCTAGGCAAACGCCTTGGGGGGGGGTGGGAAACTGGGTCATGAGAGCTACAGCAGGTTCGGGATCTGGAACCCCTCACCTGGGAACCAGAGCACCAGCGCGTGGTCCAACGGCTCCCCGGAACGGGGGTGGCTGAGCAGGCGCAGGCAGGCGCTGCGAGCCGGGGGCAAGTCCCGCGGCGCCGTGAGACTCCGGAGGGCGTGGCCGCTGGAAGGACCGCTGGTCCGGATCACCGCGATGCCGCAGCGGCCTTGGCCGGAGCTCAGCGCGAAGATAGTGGCCCCGGAACCGGGGGCCGGGGCGCCGCTGCCCTGGCGCGTGCACGATCTGGGACTGGAGAGAAGAATCAGTGCCTCTGGGAGGCTCTGTGGCTGAGTGGCAGGTGGATAGAGCGCTGGATGTTCGGCAGATGCCCCAGGTGCAGGCTCTGAGGCTGGGGGATGGGCAGATTGGAGCGTCTGAGGCCAGAGGGTGACCCAATTGAGGTCTCTGAGAGCAAAAGTTGACCCAGATGTGGGTTTGCGGCAGGGGGGTGAATATATTGTGAGGGTGAGGGCGCTGATGTCAAGAGTGTGACCCGAATGGGTACTTTGAGGCCAACAGGTGACCCAGATGTGGGCTCTGCTGCAGGGGGATGAACGGATTGGGGCTTGGGAAAATGTGAAAGGTGGTTCTGCCCCAGGCAACTGGGACCCAGATCCCCGGAAGAGGGTTTGGAGCCCAACCAGCACCCCACGCTGTCACACCCATTTCCCGTATCGCCCCACCTGCGAGGCCCACGTGCGGCCCGAGCTACTAGGGTCCACAACACCCGCCACATGGGTTCACAACCGGCGACCCGCCTACCCTCTCTGCCTGGGTGGCTTCCAGTCCTGACAGGAGGCTCCACCCACTCCGCGGCGTGACTGGTAAAGTGCTCCACGATTCTCGATCATCATTGGGCCCCTTAGGAGACCCCCTGAAGATCTTCGTTTCTATTGGCTAATGTCAGGGCAAAGGCGGGGAAGCGGCTGGACGCGGGGGTGCAGCGAAATGGCGTTCCCCCGGCAACATGAGACCGAATTTCTAGGATCCTAGAACCTCGGGTATCCGAGACACCGGAAATGAAGAGTGGGAGGAAGAACCAGGCTTCGCCCAGGGCGGTAGGAATTACACCGAGGCGAGGGTTCCAGCCCCGTATTTTCCATCTGGGTGGATGGAAAATACCCCGTGGCTTTAGGCGAAGCAAGAGCATCTCAGGGGCGGAGAGGGATGAGTTCCGGGGAACCCACGCACTGGTCCTAGTAAAATCTAGTTCAAATTTCTGGGAAGATTCCTACCTGTGTTCCCAGAACTCTCCGAGTTTCTCGCTCCTCCCCCAGCTTTCCCTCCCGCCTCCTCGGATTCCCTTCTTCATTTGACAAACTCATCCTCGGGACCTAGCTCCAAGGTCCCCCTCTGACAGGACACCTTTCTGGAATCCCCAGCATAGCCCTCTCTGCCTTCTGGGCTTTCCTAGCCCAGGCCTGCTCCTGCAGAGCTGAATGTCCGGTCTGTGTCTGGCTCCCCGAAAGCCAGAAAGGGGACTCTCGGGGATTACTTTCAGGTTAAACCAGGACAGCGCAGAATAGCGGAATAAAAGCGCTGATGGTGGAATTCCAGGCACTGGCTGGGCGGGGTCTCCGCGGGCTCTTTCGCACGGACAATTCTCTGGTTCTTGGACAGAGCGGGCGGGCGACGCACTTGCACTTGGGAAGACTGTCGGACCCGCTAGAGTTCTAATTCCTGCCTCGACCCGCTTAACTTTTTCATTTGTCAAAGAGTGACAAACGCGGACACTCGCCTTCTCCGAGTTGTCCCATCTGTCATAAGTATACATCAAGTGCCTACTGTGTGCGCTAAGAACCAGAAGGGGCCCCTGCCCTCTCTGGGCTCCCAGTCTAACAGAAAAGGCTACTCAGGACGATCAGGGTTCTGGGTGCAGATAAAATACAGAACACCCAGTTAAATGTGAATTTCAGGTAAACAATAAATAAGGTTTTGGTATAACTATGTACCATGTAATATTTGGGACATACTAAAAATGTATTCGTTTGCCTGAAATTCTTTCATACAGTGGGAGGACTGTACTTTTATTTGCTAAACTTGGCAGCTCTATCGGGTCCTCTCTGAGGAGGTTACCTCCTGAGGGGCGCAGGGGTTAACTGGACGGGAAGGGCGTGAGGAGTGCCTTAAGTGGTTGACTGGCACATGCTAAGGCCCTGAGGCAGGACTTGCTGTAAACTATTAATTCGTACTCTAGATGTGAAGTTATTGATACCTGGAATCAACCCCGCCCAGGCCCTCCCCCTCCCACGTCCCGCCGTGGTCAAATCACGCCCAACTCAAGATTCCAAACCGCGCCCTTGCAGATGGGGAAACTAAGGCTCGGAGGCGGAGAATCCAGGCCCGGGACGGGCGGTGACGAGACCCAGAATTCGACGCGGGCGGAGACACATCCTCGGTGAATGCATCTTCGGTGCGGGCGGAGACAAGCACCAGAAAGCGAAGTGGGCGGGCGAGAACGAAATCCAGAAAACAACACGGGCGGAGTCGAGAACCCAAGAGCGACGTGCGCGGGGACGAGGAGAATCGAGGTTCCGCGCGGGCGGAGACGAGAAGCAGCGCTCGGGCACGCGGGGACGGCGGCCGGCGCGGGCGGGCGCGGCCTTTGTCTCCACCTCCAGCGCGCTCCGCGGCTGCACCGGCCGGATGAGCCCGGGGCCCCCCGGCGCTCGGGCCGCCCGCAGCCCCTGACCTGCCCTGCCCTCGCCATGGCCGAAGCCACCTCCAGTGCCGGGGGCACGTCCCTGGAGGGCGAGCGTGGCAAGAGGCCCCCGCCTGACGGCGAGCCTGCAGCCCCGGCGTCTGGAGTTCTGGGTATGTGTGCGGCGGCTGGATCTGACAGGGTTGCAGGTGCCTGTGGTGCGCGCGGCGGCTGGACGGGGAGTGGGATTGGGGTCAGCCGTCCCGGGCCTGGAGTCCAGTCGAGGGGCCGGCTTCTCCCGGCACTGCGGCTGCGGCGGGGCCAGCGCGGCTGGTACGGTACAGGGGTCGGGGGTCCCAGCGCAGAGACTCGGACACGCCCCTCCGAGGGCCCCGACCCGGGGCTGATCTCAGTCACCCCTTTGGGTTACCGGATCGCAGCCCAGCAGGGATGCGCTTGAGAGAGCCTCCTCGCAGAGGATACGGAATCACGGTCCTGGGTTCGAATCCCAGCTCGCCTGTGTGACCTTGCGTGCGTGACTTAAACGCCCTGGTCCTCAGTTTCCTCACCTGTGAAATGGGGGTAAGAACCGCGCCCAGCTATGAGGACGCGCTGACATGATGTGGTGAAGCGCTCAGGGCTGCTAGTGAGCGCCCCATCGATTGTGGTTTTGGAGGCGGAGCTGGGCCTCAAGAATGAGTAAGATTTGTAAAGGAGGACCTGGGGGAAGGGCATTCCTGGAGGAAGGCCTGGCTGGTGCAAGGACGAGGAGGGAAGGAAACGAACCGAGGCCAAAGCTTGCAGGTCCCCGGATGCCAGACTGAGTGCGGAAGAGCCGTGGCCAGTGTGCAAGCAGGGGCTAGGGCTCAAGGGACTAAACTGGAGGCTGGGGTCCTCGTCTGGGAGTGGCCTGACCTGGGCCCTGCCCTGCCTGCCCCCTAGATAAGCTTTTTGGAAAGCGGCTTCTGCAGGCTGGTCGCTACCTGGTGTCTCACAAGGCGTGGATGAAGACAGTGCCCACGGAGAACTGCGACGTGCTGATGACCTTTCCAGGTACCTGTGCCCGCCGCCTGCCCGGTGCCCAGATGGGCTCCCCTGAGCTGGGCTCCCCTGAGTAGAAGTCTGTAAGAGGCCTCGGACCCCTTGTGGCAAGAGCCATCAGTCCCTGTGCCCCTTGGCAGACACGACTGATGACCACACGCTGCTATGGCTGCTGAACCACATTCGCGTGGGCATCCCTGAGCTCATCGTGCAAGTCCGCCACCACCGCCACACGCGTGCCTATGCCTTCTTCGTCACCGCCACGTATGAGAGGCGAGTCTCTGTCCCTGGCCTCTCGCTGACCCTGCTACCCAGCTCCCCACCCTTCCAAGCGCCAACTGTGAGGTTTAGCGCCTTGCGTTTGTCCCAGGTGGCCGCCAGGTACACCAACCCTAGCTCCAGGACGGTGAGCCAGGGTCTCCCCATGACCCCACCTCCGTGTCTTCTTGGCAGCCTACTTCGAGGAGCCGACGAGCTGGGTTTGCGCAAAGCGGTGAAGGCCGAGTTTGGCGGGGGCACCCGCGGCTTCTCTTGCGAGGAGGACTTCATCTACGAGAATGTGGAGAGTGAGCTGCGCTTCTTCACCTCCCAGGTGCGGCCAGCTCTGGCTCCCAGGGCGCAGCCCTAGCGCTTGGGCCGCTGTTTCCTGTGCTCAGGCCCTACCCTCTCCCCTGCAGGAACGCCAGAGCATCATCCGCTTTTGGCTGCAGAACCTACGGGCCAAGCAGGGCGAGGCGCTGCACAATGTGCGCTTCCTGGAGGACCAGCCAATCAGTAAGCAGGCGGGACCGATCTCCAATCGCAAGTGGGGAGTTGGGTGGGGCTCTTAGAATACAACCTATCAATGCGAGAGGGTGGGGCCTAGAGGCAACCGAGCAAAAAAGCTAGTGAAGAGTTGGGTGGGGCCTAGAGACAGCAATCAATGGTGTGAGGGGGCCGTGGCGTTAGCATAGGGGTGGGGCTTACTCCCCGGGAGGCATGTCCAAGAGAAATGGTTTTCTGCGTCTGGGATAAGGTAGGGGCAGGACCAAGGACAGCACTCCACGCACTGTGTGGTGAGGCCCTGGACCTCAGTTTCCTCTCCAAGAGACCAGCTGCTCCAAGTTCACCTTCTGACGCCGGCTTTGCACCATTCCTCAGACCTTCGGAGCAGTGATCTGAGGCCAAATGGCTTTATTTAAAAACAGGGTTCCACACTGGGACCCCGCCCTCCCAGGTGGATTCCTGTGCCCCCTCCTGCCTGCCTCTGCACCTCCCAAATTCTGAAGGAGAACCAGATATTCTGCCCACTCAGAACTCCTCCCCTGGGAAGAGCCTCTGAAGAATTAAAAGCAGGGAAAAACTGTGACTTGGGTTTCGGGCTGGGGGGTGGGGGGGACTGTCCAGGCCAGGCACAGGCAGAAGGGTGGGGCTCACCCTCTCTTGTCCCCCAACAGTCCCTGAGCTGGCGGCCCGCGGGATCATCCAGCAGGTGTTCCCTGTCCACGAGCAGCGCATCCTGAACCGCCTCATGAAGTCATGGGTGCAAGCTGTGTGTGAAAACCAGCCTCTAGGTGTGGCCCCAGGTGGGGGGTGTGCGGGAGTCTCAGGAAGCGGGCAGGGCTGACCAGGACCCCCCTGTGCTCCTGGCAGATGAGATCTGTGACTACTTTGGAGTGAAGATTGCCATGTACTTTGCCTGGCTGGGCTTCTACACATCAGCGATGGTATACCCAGCTGTCTTTGGCTCTGTCCTGTACACATTTACGGAGGCTGATCAGGTGCTGGGAGTGGGCTGGGCTGGGGCTGGAGTGCCTGAGACACCCTCCTCCCTGGGCCAACCTGGCTAACAGCTCAGCCTTCCGCCATCCCCAGACAAGCCGAGATGTATCGTGTGTGGTTTTTGCCCTCTTCAACGTGGTCTGGTCAACCCTGTTCTTGGAGGAGTGGAAACGGAGGGGGGCAGAGCTGGCCTACAAATGGGGGACGCTGGACTCACCTGGGGAAGCTGTGGAGGAACCACGACCCCAGTTCAGGGTCAGTTGGGGGTGTCTGAGTCCAAGGACTCTAAGAATGAGATGGGGGGGCACTGCAGGGGCAAAGACAAGGTGTGAAATAGGGCTGCAGCATCAGAAAGGGTATGCCAGGTGGGGGCCTCTGCATGCTCCTAAGGAGAGGCGTGGGAAATTGCATTTGAGGGACTGGGAAAGGTGGACTAGGTGGGGGCACCGCAAAAGCAAAGGCATGGTGGAGGGAAATTGAATTCCGAGGCCTTGGGAAAGGTGTGTGGGGGCAGGG